GACATCGAAGATATTAATGACCACACACCAAAATTCACGCAAACTTCTTTCGAGCTGCAAATAAGTGAGTCTACGGTGCCAGGCACACGGTTTATATTAGAAGCAGCGGAAGATGCCGATATTGGCTTAAACTCTCTGCGGATTTATAAACTCTCTCTTAGCCCTAGTTTCTCATTGATAAATAAAGAGAAACAAGATGGTAGTAAATACCCAGAATTGGCGTTGGAGAAACGTTTAGACCGGGAACAACAGAGTTACCATCGTTTAGTTCTGACTGCCATGGATGGCGGAGATCCCCCACTAAGCGGCACCACTGAGCTCCGTATCCAGGTCACTGATGCCAATGATAACCCCCCTGTATTCAACCAGGACATGTACAGAGTAAGCCTTCCAGAAAACGTGCCCCCAGGCACCACAGTGCTGCAAGTATCAGCCACTGACCAAGATGAAGGCATCAACTCGGAAATCACTTATTCTTTCTACAGGACTGGGCAAGTCTTCAGTCTGAATTCAAAGAGCGGGGAAATTACAACTCTAAGAATGCTGGATTTCGAAGAAATCAAGGAATATTCTATAGTGGTGGAAGCGAGGGATGGTGGAGGACTGGCTGCACAATGTACAGTTGAAATTAATATTCAAGATGAAAATGACAACAGCCCAGAAATTACATTCCATTCTCTAGTCGAAATGATTCTGGAAAACGCAGCGCCAGGAACGCTAATTGCTTTGATCAAAATATACGATCAAGATTCCGGGGAGAATGGGGAGGTTAATTGTCGATTAGAGGGTGAAGTTCCTTTTCAGATAATCTCTTCATCAAAAAATTCATATAAATTGGTAATAGATGGGACTCTGGACCGAGAACAGACCCCAGAGTACAATGTCACCATCACAGCCACCGACAGGGGAAAGCCGCCCCTCTCAGCTAGCAAAAGTGTCACTTTGATCATCACTGATACCAACGACAACGCTCCGGTTTTCCTCCAGGACTCCTACATGGTTCACGTGATGGAGAACAACCCTCCTGGAGCCTCCATCGCCCAAGTCAGCGCCTCCGACCCCGACCTGGGACC